GTGATACCCCAGTAGGGGTCTTTAGTAACAAGAGAGTAACAAGAAGAAGAAGAAGACTTGCTACATTATATAAGATTATCGACAACGTCATTTCTGTACCACATGCTAGACTTGTCCCGGCGGCTCGATGCTCCCGTCGCACCAACTACGCTCTTAAGCTGCAGACCATCGCGAGTAAGAACAACTATTACAGGCTCTCGTTCTTCCCTCGTACCATTAGTACATCCAAAAGTGGAACGAACTTGAGCCTGGTGTGACGGACACGGGGTCTCTCGCCCAGTTCAAAACTGGACTGGCGAGTGCCCTTGAGTCGCCCCTACACGTCTTGTATATATGTATATATATATGTTCTACCAACACATATGTTCTACCAAGTGCATTGTCTTGTCTTTTACACCAACAGACTCAGTTATTTAATATGTTCCTTAGTGTCCCCTCCTTCAGTTACCCTTGTTTTTATTTGTACCGGTCACCTATTTTGTAACTAACAGCTGCTAGTAATCCGATGTAAATTGGGCTAAGCAGTGCATAAGATGATGAAGATGATGATCAGAACATCAGGACAGCAATACGTGCGACTTTTAGTTCTTACACTGCACGAAATCATCTGTAAAGCCTTGGTCACAACCCGCCACACGTGCTTCTACGTGCTGTCTACGTGCAAAAACGTGGGCAAACGCAGGGCATCCGTGCGTGGTGAGTACCACCTCCGTACGGAATCCTACGGATTTGGGAGCACGCAGACACGCCGTAGAACTTTAAGTGTATGTAAAACTTATTCTACGTGCGGTCTGCGGATTCACCACCCGTGCGTGCGAGTAAGAGCGACGCGCGTGCCCCGTACGTGCCGTGCGGAAGAAGCACGTGTGAGTACGGCCTCCTTACGGTAAAGTTGCAATCGCAAAAAGATCGTACGTTGTAAGCACGTACAACTCACTTACCACTTGCGCAACCGTTCACAGCCAGACTTGGCGTGCAGACCCCACTCTTACCACTTTGCGCAGCCGTTCGAGTGACGCACGGAGACGCCACTCCTTCCCCACGTTTTCAGAAAAAACGTAGCAGACGTAGCCTCCCAAAAAACGTACGGAAAAAAAGCACGTACGGCGGGTTGTGACCGAGGCTTAAAGGAACACACACGTATGAGAGAAGAACTGAAGATTTAACCCATGCTGAGCGGCAGAAACACAACACCGCAGATGGATTGGTTCTACTCCCCTCCCCACGACCCCGACATTTTTATTTGCTCTCCCCCGGGTGTCCTCAAGTGTAATAGTGTTGGCCACGCGCCTCGCCACGGTCTGTGAGAATGGGGATAGCAGACGACACGTGCCTGCGACCGCGCGCTACAACAATAAACTTTAAAGGTTCGTAAGATTAGTAGTTTCCGGTGATTATAAACCCATCAAAAATAGTCCGCCGTCGTCTGGACTTTAGATCATAATAAAGGGCAAAATTCCTACAGGGACCTCTGTGACTACGAATACAAAGAATTTCATAAGGTTGGTAAACGAATGAATAGCAAAGTTCTTTGATCACAACCATTTATTTTTCACGAGCCGACGTTTCGATGACCGTCTGTCATCTTCATCAGGGCAATTCTGACTGGTTTACTGTGCAACAGTGCACTATGAGCCATGCATGTAACACCTTTAGTGCACTAAGTAATATCTAGCATCAGTGCACAGTAAACCAGTGAAAATTTCCCTGATGAAGATGACAGACGGCGATCGAAACGTCGGCTCGTAAAAAAATAAATGGTTGTGATCAAAGAACTATGCTATTCATTCGTTTACCAACCTGATGAAATTATTTACGGAAAGAATTTGTAGATTTGTTGAAACTCACTTGGTTCGTAGAAGTCATAGACTGTTGCCGATGCCGGCTGGAGATGTCCCACTAGATGCTGTCTGTTCAGGAGGAACTCGAAGCACAGGTTGGACTGCGACTTCAGCTGCAAACACATGAACCACGCACACGTCAGAGGAAACGGCGAACGCTAGTCTTTGCCAGACTAACTACGCTGGCCGCCTTGTAGGTTTGACTGGCCGCGCAGTCGGAGGGGAAGAAACTACAGTACCTCCCCGCGGCCGGACTCCCTTCGCCAATTTTACTCTCTTTTTTTGCCGAATTCGATCCGTATTCCCGTAGAAAGGCTGGTCGAACTCCGCGTGTCAATCGTATTAGCGATTTTGTAGAAAGAAGCATATCAGTATTTTGCTTCTTTTCGAGAAATTGGAAAAGATTATGAACGCGAGTTAGTGAAAACTTCCAACCCGATATGCGACAAGCGTTCAATTGAAACCTTTCGGTCTCGTAAACAGACGTTGTCATTTGAAACGGTTGACGCCCTATCGCTGACCCGTCGCGATGCCATATCCGTCAGCCAAAGAAGAACTTTTTGGAGGCGCAAAAACGTATAGAACGGTGTTGAGGAAGCGGGCTAACACACTTGGAGTCACTGTAAGTCCTGAGATCGATGGCATCGACCGTTTCAAATAACAACGTACGTTTACGAGACGGAAATTATCAAGTGAACGCTTGTCGCATATCGGGTTTAAAATTTTCACTATATCGCGTTCATAATTTTCTAATTTCTCTAGCAGAAGCAAAATAATGATATGCTTCTTTCTAAATTGCCAATTCGACTGGTAACTTATAATAAGTACCTTATGTTACCGATGAAAATATGCTTTCCAACAACACAGGCCTCAAAGGAGCCGTTCAGTTCATTCTAACTGAAAGAGAACTCGGCAGAGGGTAAGTGACCTATCACCACATCTTTGTCTGCCAGACCCTGACTAGCCTTGTATCCAGTCCGATCGTGGTCGGGGCCGCAAGAGCTCTGTCCCGCCCGCCTCACATAGGTTTCCCGGTGTGTATTTCACGAGAGATTGATTAGCCCTCCACGTTCGTGTTGGGGGTAAACCAAATGCCCATTAGTATACTGTCTCTTATTAGCGTAACACTCCTACCGGGACGGTCTGTTGCACTGGGCGGGGGAAGCTATTAGGGCCCCCGAAGGCACAACCTGCCTGGACACCCCAATACCCCCAATCACGTAAGACTGGATACCAGGCTAGACCCTGACTATCCTACACAAGCTTGAAGAATCAAATTTGCCATGCCTGGAGGGGGCTCGCCGACTAGTCTAGACAAACCAGGATATCATTGTTTAGTCTTTATACCGAAAAATCAAGCCTGTATTTAAACTTGACCTGGAGGGCCTAGCGGTTGTGTTTCACTTAACACGTTTAAGGTCGGGAGGAGGTAGCCTCCGTAGCAGACTTATAGAACTGAGGGTTTGGTGGTCTTCGGCTGTTTTCTGAAGAACGGGGGTAATTCAACCAGGCCGGCTATGTTGTCTATATGTAATCAGAAAATAGCACATAAACTAGAGAAGTAACATTTGCAAAGCAAATGCAGAATGTTTACCTTCGGACATGGTCTACCCTGTTAATTTTTACTCAAACACATTCACATAACGTTACATGTACTACGAGTATATGGTGACAGGAGCAGAGCAGACCATGAAATTGCAACATTATGTAACCCAACACCAGTCACCATGGTGACATACGTCAACAAATCATGCAATTGGCCAGGTCAGAGGTTAGTGTTTGTAACAGAAGAGGAGGAAGAAACTGAGTAAAAACAATATGTTTTCCTTCGGTAAACATAAAGAGGCCGAAAGACACTGAACCCCCCCCCCCAAACCACCCAGTTTTTGGCAAGCTATGGAGGCTAGGGAGGAGGCTGGTTGGGGCCCACACTGTCTGGCGCCGGGGTGTGACGTGTCAGACCCGCGACATCACTCCCAGATTTATATCAGGGGACACCGCAGTGGAAACCAAACGTTGCCTGGCCTTGGACCGATACGTTGATAGAATCATTGCCACATCTGTCTTTGAGAAAGGAAGTGTGTTCCATAATTTTTAGCCTGGGTGCCAGACCCATAGCACACTTGACGCAAAATATCTCTTTGTGTCCAGTGTGCTTTGGGTCTGGCACCCAGACTAAAAGTTTTTGGATGTGCGATATCTGTGGAAACTTTCTTGTCCAGTCTAAGACAGGATGGATCCGGTCGTATGACGCTGACGTGTTGTTTACGCCCATTCTGTGGCCACTTCACATTTGTACGTTAATTAGGCCACAGCAAGTAAATTTTGTGGATGACATGCTCCGCAGACTCCAAATATAATGCGAGCGGGCGAAAAAAAAACAAGACGGGCCGAAAAAAACAAGGTTCCTACATCTTTTAAATTTTAGCTCAATCATTGTACAAATGGTTTGGATTCAGTGGGAACATCACATATACACAGCCAGCACCACATATCACTGCATAAAAGTAAGAAACAAAATATTAAATCAGAGCATTTTCTTGTCTCCTCTCTTCATAGTTATCTGCCGTCCATTTTCCGTCATGGCAACAGACATTTTTGACCATTTTCGGCATGGTGACCACTGTCAGAAAGCAACAAAATGTCTTGTTTTTTTCTCCGAAATCTGGCAAAAATTAATGCGCGCTCTGATGTCAACCATAAAAATTACTTGATGTGGCCTAAGACAGGATGATCCGGTCGTACGACGCTGACGTGTTGTCTACGCCCATTCTGTGACCACTCCACATTTGTACGTTAACATTTCACACACGACCGAGCAAACAGATCAAGTCATCTGCGCCCTATGACTCAGCAGACGGGGGTGTCCCCTAGTCTCTACCAGACGCTGGCTATATATAGGAGAATATTTGCCGGGGGAGTTTGGCCGCCTTGTAGGTTTGACTGGTTCGGAGGGAAAGAAACTACCTCCCCGCGGCCGGACTCCCTTGGCCAATTTTACTATCTTTTTTTTTTTTGCCAAATTCTACGATCCGTATTCCCGTAGAAAGGCCTGGTGGAGGCTAGGTGTCCCCCGGCAACACACGGTCGCTGACCCGCACACACATATAGAGGGAAAATTGACTTAGGTAGTGGCTGAGACATGTGGAAGTTATCACATCCGGATATGTGTCATCTACTTTTGGAGTTGTGTTTGTGCAGTACTTGTATGACAGGGTATATCAGTATATATATACATTTGTACTATAGCAATGCATATGGGGGCCTGCATGCCCTTTTTCGTAAGGCGTAATCAGGCCTTTTTATTCTTCGTAATCCGTAGGCAGCCTCCCCAAAAATCAACGTAATTCGAAATAGTACAATAGCAGCAAAGCGTTAAGTCGTAATCAGCACTGTGACTTTTACGTCGTAATTGGCGGCGAAAATTTTGCGTAATTCGTAATCACTTGATGTATTGTGGTATCATAAGTCAATGCTGGCATTGCTCGCGCGCTGGACATAAGTGGGAACCATTCTCAAGTTCTTGATGTGAAAACTCCGGTCGGCACACATTTTTTTTAATTGCCAAAATGCCCACACTGCATTATGGGCCCATGAGACGTACAATATGATGCATCTGAACTGTTACGCCACTGTTACCCATTCAGTATGCCGCCCCCCCCCCCGAATACCAACCGACCAACGTTGGTTGAATTTTGGGGGCCGACCTGTAAAATTTGGAGGAAAGTGAGGAAAGGCAGTTTACACGACTTTCCTCACTTCACTCAGGTATAAATTAGTATTGTATTGTCCCCTGTGTTGGTTGCGGTATTGATATAAGTTGAAAAAAACTTGAGTGTGCCGTCACCACGTCTTGTGATTACATGTTGGAATAGTAAAAAAAGAAGGAAAAAACCCACACAATTCTTACCTGAGATAAAATGAACGTAACTTTTCTCTGCTCTACGTTGAAATGCATGATGGGTAGTGTACTGTCCGCCATAAGCTGTGGTAAAAAAGACATTTATTAAAGTTGATGATTCAAAATTTTCTCAACATCATCATCATTGTCAATTCAAACTCGAGCTAACACTATTTGGCGAAGGTATGTGATCTTCTAACTCTAGCGTGTAATCATGATTTATGCATAAAAATATAAAGATATATAGCAATGGATTCATAAGCATTATATGTTCATGCATTTGTGAATACATGTACATGTTTATGCATTTTGAATAACTTCAATCGTGAAATTATAACCTGTATCTTTTTAATATTTGTCTGACCATTTACTAATGATCTCAATGAAAAGCGACACACAGGTCGATTTGATATTTTTGTGAACAAAGAAAGGCAGAAAATAAATAAACAAGCAAACAAACAAACAAACAAACAAGCAAACCTTGTGTAGTGATGTTATATCAGCTGTAAACCCTGAGAACACCTCCAGCTCCAGAACAGCAGGGTTGGACCAGTTCCCATCATCCCATCTGAAACGCCATCAAGCCATGTCCTGGTCAGAATGCTGATTTTCATATCCCATTTACCTTATGCACATGGAAAGGTGTGCACCATGTGCTTTTGAGTAAAAGGCCGTGTTTATGTGAAGTCACCCAAACCGCGATTCGGGTAACTCACATTCCTCACATCTGGTCCACGTGCCACACATTCCTGTGAAACCGTGTCCGATCACAATTCGCTTGAGCTACATTTATTGTTGTTTGATGAAAACACGCAAGGTGGCGTGTTATTAATGTCAGAGGTCAACGACCTGCTTGCTGATGCCCCCCTCCCAGGGTATCTCGGCCGAATGCCGAAGTGGTCCCGCCAGAGGCGGTGAAGTTCGCCCTAGGACACATTATTTGACGATTACTGCTCTTTAAGTTGCTGCCACGTAAAAGTTGGTATTGCGTATAAATAAAGAAATATTACCCCGTAATCCATGATCAGGCGAAGTTACATTGAAATCACATTGCGTTCAGACGCAAATCGCGATGCGGAAAAACCGATTCGAAACCACCTCTAGAAGTGGTTTGGGATCGAGGCGCTTTCAATGTGATTTGGAGCGTTCAGATGGAGCCATTTGAAACCGGCTTCGGGGTAAACCACATGTAAAGCGCCTTGGGTGGCTTCACATAAACACGGCCAAAGTCTCAATATATATATAGACACAGAACAGACATTTTCATGTGCTTACCTTACGCAGGTTTCAATGACCAGATGGTCTCCGTGGTGTGTTCCACTGCGCATCTCCACCTGCTTCTGAGACGTCATTTCCAGCTGAGTTGTCTTCCTGTCGTCTGTGTCCACGTCCTCTTCTAACATCGCTGTTATGTTACTTTCACTCAACCCAACTTCGCTGAGCTTGGACAAGAAAGCTGCCAAAATATGGTCGTCACTGACGTCACTGTCATCATCTCCGGTATAACCCGGAAACGGAAACCCGAGGTCACCATAATCCAGACTCATCTCAATACCTCCTGGTCCATCAAATGCCTTTTCCATCATCTCACCAGTACTGTCCATGCCGGCATCATCGTGATCTTTCTGTTGTCCAACCTTCATGTCTTCCGTATTCCAGTTCGCGACTGGAAATTCTAAGTCGATTGGAGGGAAGTCTAAACCGACTACGTCCTCTTCTTGGTATCTGTCTTTTTCTCTCTCGCTAGAGTCTTCTTTTTCAATATCTGCACTCATGTCTTCATCGCCATCAGTACTTCTCTCATTGTCAGCGGAGGACTTCAACTTGTCGACTTTGAGCAACTTTTTTTCGTCTTTCCTTTTCTTTATCTGGGTATTCTTACCATCCTTCAACGTCTCCAGCTCAAGGCTCGTATCCTCTTCAGAACCGTTCATTCTCTCCTCCTTGTCTCTCTCTGCTTCGTCTCTTTTGGCTCCTTTGCCGCCATTCTTCCTGTTTCTCTTGCCTTCCTTTCTTGATCCACCGTCTTCTTTGGGAGACATATCTGTCTCGTCAATCGGCTTGCCGTTTTTAGTTCTATCTGAAAGCTCGTTACTTCTGTTAACTTCGGTAGAATGTGTTTTCTCAGTGCCCAACCTGTGTTTCTTCCCATTCCTGTGCCTTTTTCTCGTTAGTTTGACTTCGTCTGTGTCAACGTCTTCTCTCAATCTCTTGGGTTTGTCGTCGTCTTTTGTTCTCTTCGAGTTCTTAGCATTCCTCTTATTCTCCTCCGGTTCTTTTTCCCTGCTGCTGGTGCCTTCTTCATCGTCGAGATGTTCGTCGTCTTTCGGAGTGGCGTTCGTTCTTTTGTCCTCCGCGATGGAAGACGCCCCACTGTCGGGATCTGTATCCGAGCTGTCCGAGCCAGCTGTTCCGTTCTCCAAGTCTCGTTTTTTACGGTATATCTGCACGGGTTTGGCTGTGACACGTATCTGTAGTGGGCCTCTCGAGCTTTGGTCTGACTCCAACTTTTGGTACTTGGCACCCATCTGTATGTAACAGACCAAATTAAACAAGTGGGTGGATTTGGATGGCCTCCACACAGTACCATTATAATTTTATCATTCGGGGAACTCTCTGTGCATACCCAAACCAACCCACAGAGATTCTACACGTAATAAATACATATTTGATGTACCTACACATAATGAGTGGGTTTGTTGCATTTGCAGTTTTTTAATAATCAATTGAGTCTTTGTAATATATCAAAACAAGTAGCAATTCATTATACACACAGTAATTAATAATGTATACCTGGAATAATGCACATCCTTGTCCAGAAGCTTCAACCTCAATCATTTGTAGCTCGGAGGAAACCTGGATCAGACGGTGTAAAAAGATGTCATGAACATAGAATCCACAAATAATCTTTTTGTCTGCTATCTATAACATTGCACTCTCAAAAGTTGATCACACGCACACACACAATAACACACACAAACACACACACGAGCGCACACAAACACGCACTCCCCTGCACACACTCACACACACACACAAACACACTCACACACACACACACACACACACACACACACACACACACACAACACACACACTCACACACACAACACACACACACAAACACACACTTGTAAACACACACACACACAAAGAGTCAGACGCACACACACACACACCGTCACACACACACACACACACACACACACACACACACTCCACACACACACACACACACACACACACACCGTCACACACACCGTCACACACCACACACACACACACACAAACACACACACACGCGCGCGCGCGCACACACACACACACAAAGACACACACACACACATACATACACACACACACACACAACACACACTCACTACACACACACACAAACACACACACACACACACACATACAT